CCAAAATAGGTTATTTCTACACCTTGGAGGTTAGACAGGCACCTTGTGACCACAAATGCAAGTTTTTACAGACGAATCTCCAGCTCTATAACCGCGGGTTCAATCCCGGCCGGGGGTATGGTTTATTTGCAATCGTGTCATTACGATTTCTTAAGTCAGTTATCTGGTTTTCTCTCGGATAAAAGAGCTCAATTGTATGACACTGTTTATGTAACTGTCAGATTGGGCAATGTGAAAAAACGTGTTAATGCAGTAATTGTAGATAGACTTCCAGAGAAAATATCTACAGTAGGGCTTAGTGAAGCTACAGAAAGACTTTCACATAATGTAAAATTGGCACCTTCTGGTGTAAGTAATGATTCTGTAGGCTCAATAAATATTTTGATAGGTAGTGACTATTATGCCTCCTTTGTGAAGGGGTTATGGTAAAGAAATGTGGTGTCACCCTTTTGAAGACTGCAGGAGGCCATGTAATGTATGGTAGGATTCCTCGTAATAATAATTCATGACTGGAGGAAACTACAAATACCCTAACTTTTGTGTCTTACCATGAAATCGTATCCAGTATAATTCTTCCATAGAGGATGGTTTGAGCCAGTGCAAAATTGTGGGAATTAGACAGCCCTTGGAATAAATGTAAATGAAGAAAGTCCAGACGATTCTTTTACCCCAAGACAATACGTGAGAGATGTAAATTTGAATCTGTTCAATACTGGGTGCGACTTCCGTGGAGACTGAACCATCCAGAATTGCCCACAAATTAAAGAAGGATATGGACATTAAAGGCTCAGCTCCACGAACTGAGTAAGAAAACCAGAATTGTTAAATCCTATAATGATAAAATTGCTGAAACAGTTAATTAATAAATTTATAGAAGAGGTACCTCCTGAGAAGCCAAAATTTATGGTCACTATTTGCCCAATCACGGAGTGAAAAGGATTCAAAAACTATCCTTTGAGAATTGTGTTTAATTAGTGCGGAGTAAACAAAATGTACCTATTTAAAATGCTATTTGAAAAGGGCCGTCGTTGACGGAAAAATTAGGAGATATCTATTAAATTTCAGAGGAAGCATTAGTTTTTATGGCTGACTAAGTAAAGTTTTCAAGAGGGGGTTTACAAGAGGCTGACAGGGATTGTACCCACTTTTATGGCTGAGAACAGTGACCCATTAGCCCTCTGAAAAGCTTTCACTTTGGAGCGTTTATTGGTTTGCTAATCCAGGTCCGTTCCTATTTCAGCGACGAAAATGCACCCCTTAAACGTATGGAAAGTCCATTGAGTAAAGGTAATGAGAAACAATTTTATGTGGGACAATTTCCTGGGTTTTGGACGTCAACTGAAGTGCAATATCCTTGAGGGAATGGAATAGAAATTGCCCAAATTTGAGGGACAAAATAAGTAAAGTTACCTGGAGATGAAGTGCCAAATGTAATAAGGATTAACTTGGATAATGAGAGAGATTTGTTAATGTTAAAACCTAAAATTCAGTATGCCCAATTAATTAACTAAGGAGTTTTGCTTGTGAATTTTTCCAAATGTTTTGATCCACTAGGTTTAGTGTCACCCCTTACTATAAGAGGATTTAAATTATTAATTCAGGAACATGAAACTTAAATGTGCTTTGGGATGAAATTCTACCTGAGGAATTCATTAACAGGTGGTTGAATTAATTGGCGATTAGAAAAAAATTCCAATGTTGGAGTTTCCCATGCAGGTGGCCATCCAAATGGGAAAAATTAACTCCAATTTTTGGATGCTTCAAAATTGGCATATGGGCAGTTGCTTACCTTCAATGTAATAGTGTTATTTCTCTTGTTATGTCTCAATTATATCATACCTTGCCTCAGTTGGAATTACAGCATTTATGTAGGTGTTTCAATTAACAGTATATAAGAAATAGGTGCAGGAGTTAATATTAGCGACACTGTATTTTTGTCTTTAAGGGGTAATCCTTACAATGGATCATAATGGAAACAGTAAAATTGTGTACGTAAAAACAGTCGCTGAAATTAATCAGATCAGAGAAGTATAATATTTTGGGGGTCAGCAAGTTAACATTTAATCATATACCTGGTGGGGAGAATCCAGCTGATTTCTTGTCTCGGGTTTATCTTATGCTAAATTTGTAAATGCTGTATCATGGTTTAAAAGGATCGACGGGTTGTAAATAAAGCAAAATTGGCCTGTACAAAGACGTATATTGCTCCTGTTGAATTACTGTGACCCCCGTTCCAAAGTTGTCCTCATTAGCAATTGAAAATAAAATATTCATTTTTTACCAAAACTAATCAATTTTAAATAGTTGGGTTTAAATTTCTAAAAAAGAGAATCTCTCAATAAATTTTCAACCTCTTGATATTGGATAAGAAGTACAGGAAGAAATCTAGGGGAATGAGATTAAAATGTGTGGAAAGAAAAATTGTGAAAGGTTCCCATATAGAGAAATTGGGGCGAAATTTAGAGAACAAGAATTAGGTTCCGAGGAGGTTACAAAAATGCTGAATTGGGTGATTAAGCTAAACACCCTATCTTACTGCCCAAAATCATCTAACCAAATTTAAATTTTCTAAATGCCCATAAAAAAATGTAATGCATGGTGGGGGTACAAGATACCTTAAATTGTATTAGGAAACTTCTGGATTGCACAAGGACGGCCAAAGTGGGAAAAAAAAGGGTGATTAAATCTTGTGTTAATATGTCGCCGTGTGGATGCCAGATCTTATATGTACCCAGGTCCTCCACCCCTGCCAAATGAGCAATTTGAGTCAAATTTTTAAAAGAACTCCCTCGGCCGGCAGTGGGGAAAATACTGTATATATTTTTCCGAAATACAGAATTATATGTAAATAGATGGCATATGTATTCAAAAAAAAATTTATGTAATAAAATATGGGGAAGAAGCGCTGCGCCTGTGCCCCCCCTCAAGGAAGGTTCCTTGATGTTGGTGAGGGGTCTTGATTTAGGGAATTGGATCTTGCCCAAATTCCCCGAAAAGCCTGAATGCTTCACACCCCGCCCCCCGGCGCTGTATAATCCCCCGGGTTTTTGCGTTCCCCTTGATTAAAAAAATAAATAATAATAATGCGCCTGTGCAGAAGAATCGCCCCTTATTGTTTGAATTGAACAGGCTTGGTGAAAAAAAAGAAGAATTTTTTGTTTCAGAGGGTTAAAAAAGGGGTGACACCCCTCAAAAAGAGGCGAAATTGTTGGATTGGGGATTCCCGCATAACTTGAGTATCAGGCGACTGGACAGAAAACTCCAGGAACCCAGATAAGTTGTGAGTTTGAAAATTTGGCCGTGTTATTTTCATGTATAGGCGTGAGGGGTTTTTGAGTTGATACACCTTGTCTCCAGTCAAATTGGTGGGGTGATTTTAAGTATTTTCTCCTTCTGTTATGATTGTGTATATAAAATAATTCTTATTAATTTAATATACATCCAAAATTTATATATTTACCAGTTCAGTTGATAATATTTTATTTGTAATTAATGGGCCAAGGGACTTGGGATATGACAGTGGTAGGTATCGAAAAGGGGGCATTTTTTTGTGACCTAGGTGTCCCAAATTCCTAATTGCCAGTAACTGATAAATAATAATTTTCTTTGTTATCACTTACTGTTATGTACATAATGAGTTACATTCAGATAAATGCAATTTTCCACAGATGGTATGCTCAAGAGACTGTCCAAGAATACCATAATAATAATAATAATAATAATAATAATAATAATAATAATAATTCATTGGTCAACACTTATTTTCTGGCCAGTGATATTACACTGATAAACCATACCACGGGAGGGATTTGAACCCGCGATCAGAGAGTCTCAAAACTCCAGGCCGTCGCGTTAGCCACTGGACCAGCTAGCCACAATAAGATTCGTCCAACTAGGTATATTTCTATACCCTAGGAATAGGGCACCACTGTGACCACAAATGCAAGTTTCTTACAGACGAATCTCCAGCTAGCGTGGCCGTTTTGAGACTCTTGGAGTTTTGAGACTCTCTGACCGCGGGTTCAAATCCCGCCCGTGGTATGGTTTGTTTGCAATCGTGTCATTACGATTTCGTGAGTCATATTACACTGATTTTAGGGTAAGTTTGTAGTGTTGATTCCAAATACGTCATCGGTTTTGCATTTAAAGCTTCTAATGGAGCTGTCTATAAACAGCCGAAAATCTCCTGGTCAATTTTCAAGTTCCATACGAAGATGTCCAGGAATAATATTTCAGTAAACAATTTCTTCATCTTGGATGAAGTAAGGAAGGAATTCAATCTCTCTCGTCCAGCAAGCTGTTATTTTAACATCTTGTTGTGGACAGTTATTTTCTTTTAGTCTGGATTCTAAAAGTTCTAATGCTATCTCTTCTTGGGAGAACTGCTGGGGTGTTAAAAAGGTTACTTCATATTCGGTTTCACTGCTATCACCTGTGTTACATTTTAAACCCTGAGTTTTTCTAACATCTGACAGTGGAAGGTCGGGTATGGGAACATGTTCACAGTGTGGCACAGGTCTCCTTGCTGGCTCCAAATCAGGATATTCCCACTTGACTTTGATGTTTTTCTTTGTTTTTGTAAATAGTATTCGCCACAAATTTACCAAAATGTATTGGTATTGTTTAAGAAGGTTCTTCATGAAAAACTCAATTTTACTGGAAAAAAAAATAAATGTTACAATATTGTCACGTGGTCGTTGTTGATACAGCTTCTTTCGTTAAATATTAAATAATTTAAAAATAAAATTCCAGTCATTATTAAAACTATCTCTTTGTATAAATTGTCACTACATTTACATGTACATGCGTTATGGCTAAGTTCCCAGTTAATTGAGGGTAGTTATGCAATATCTCACAAAACAGAGCCAATTTGAAAAAGCTTCTGCCATTCTCGAATTCAACAACTCCAAAATAATAGTTGGCAAATAACTTTGGCAACGATTTTTTTTGGTGACCAGTGTAATAACAAAAGCTCACTTCAACATTAATTTCATTTACAG